GCGATCATCGTTTATTATCATGAGAAATATTTGCATGGAGGATCGCAGGCGCTGCTTGCCGCATTACGGCAAAGGTACTGGCCGATTGGAGGCCGCAAGTTCGTCGCCAGCGTTATCAACAAATGCGTCCGATGTTTCCGAATGAAGCCTGTTACTTGGGAGCACGTCATGGGTAGCCTTCCAGCAAATAGAGTGCAGCCTAATCCAGCTTTTCATACCACAGGAGTGGACTATTGTGGGCCATTCTATCATAAAGCAGAGGCCAGAAATAAGGCACCCCACAAGTGCTATATCGCCGTCTTTGTCTGTTTTTCCACGAAGGCTGCTCATTTGGAAGTGGTCCAGGATCTCACGACGGATTCTTTCATCGCAGCGCTGAGGAGATTCATCAGCCTTAGAGGCAGTCCGCGTACCATTTGGAGCGACAATGCTACAAACTTTGTCGGTGCAAAGAGAGAGCTTGCCGAGCTGAAAGAGCTCTTTTTGAGCGAGCAGCACACAGCATCGATATCTTCCGTCTGTTTAGCTGATGGGATCGATTGGAAGTTCATCCCTCCGCGTGCCCCGCACTTCGGTGGTTTATGGGAGGCCGCTGTGAAGTCAGCTAAATTTCACTTCTACAGAGTCGTCGGTGCATCCATCTTAGCCATCGATGAATTAAGAACTCTTGCATATGAGATTTCTGCCATCCTTAACTCCCGTCCACTCTGTCCAATTTCAGAAAATGCTGAAAGCCTTGAGGTGCTAACACCGGCGCATTTCCTGAAGGGTTCCAGCTACACTAAGTTTCCTGAGCCTGGCATTACTCATCTCCGCGAAGACCGCCTCAGCAGATGGCAGCGGGTTACCCAGATGCAGCAACATTTCTGGAAAAGGTGGAGCAGCGAGTATTTGTCCCTACTTCAAGAGAGGAGCAAGTGGCGCGTCGAAACGTCTAACATCAAGGTTGGACGCATAGTTTTGCTTAAGGAGGACAACGTTCCACCCTTGAGATGGCAGCTTGGGTGCATCCAAGAAGTCATACCCGGCGGGGACGGAGTCATCAGAGTAGCTATGGTCCGTACAGCTACGGGTCTGATCAAGAGAGCCGTCGCCAAGCTAGCCGTTCTGCCCATCGATTCCGAGATAGTTGGAACCTTACCTCTTCCAACGGGGGGAGTATGTTCGGAGCAGATCGCCAGCGCCTAGTCATGCGCGCATAGGTGTACGACGGCACCTGCATCGCTCTCTGCTTATCTTTCGCCTTCTTTCTTATACCCATAAAGCTGTCGCTTATCTATTCAGCAACTACTTTGTAAGCCTGCATATGTCTATATGAAGATCTTGGAGCCAAGCTTTTTACACATTCACAGTCCGTCTGCCGCTCCGAATAAAAGCTATACATTTTAATATAACCTATTCGTGCGTTATTAATTATAAATATAAGGGTGGCATATTTGTTGTCTTCCCCATAAACAACTATTTTATGTAATTAATGGGAATACTTATATATACATTCTTATTATTGGTACCCATTACATTTTTTGAACTAATAAAAAGAATAGTCTTATATCAATACGAACAACTAATACACAAAGTTATATTAATAGTTATCCATGAGTTATCGGTCTAAAGACTTTATAAAACTAGTTTTTTGGGGACTCCCGTAATTCCCTTTGAGGTTCTTACCGGAAAGGCGCGTATACGCATTTTGCCCTCCTTCTTGGGAGGATTTCCCCGTAGATTCATGCTTTGCAAGCGTCGGCACTGCTCCTCCACTGTATTGGCGGTCCGGACTCCGGAGCAGGGAGCTGCAGGAAAAGCAGGTGCTTTTCCGACTTTTCCGATGGCGGAACCTTCTCTCCTCGTACGTAAACAATGTTCCCCAAGACGAGAGCACAATTCCTATGGTTATTCAGGCAATCCTAGAAGATAAGGAATGGTTAGGGGATTAGTTGCAGCACAATTTCCTTGGGTTGTTTATAGGATTATCCGAGTAGGGTGGCCCCAAGATAAGTTTTCTACTTTTCTTTTTATTGTATTTATGCAAACATTCCACGCAAATGTTAGGGTGTCAAGCGCAATGTATATACACACAAACAAACATACATATGCTTGTGTATGTATGTCTATTTGGGGAAGCGGCGGCGGTTTTTATTCGCGAATAGTTCGGAATTGCGAATGTCCCGGGATCCCGGGGGCGGCAATCCCGATCGCTTAAATGCGCCGTCACTTCCTTTGTGGCCGCCTGTGTTGCAGATATCGGGATATATGCATTTATATCGGGGTATATATTCGCTGGCCCAGCCGATCTCTCCGCGTAAAAGAAACGGTGAAAAAAAACTCACACGGCGACAATATAATTGTTATGTACATATACGTGCAATTAATACAAGAACCGTTGTTTTACACGCACGCCCGACCGATGACCGATAAATGTATATCCCAAATGGGCCTCTGCAAATGCCAGACGTTAGCACTCCAATACTTTTATTTTTCAATTTGTTGCTTTCTTTATTTTCCTTACGTTTCTTCTATTTCACTTTGTCATGGAAAAGACGGGCTACATGTGTGTGGGTGCGTGCGTGTGAGTGTGGCTGCCCGTCTCTCTGTTCCGCACTTGTGTGTGTATGTTTTTGTACCTGGCCTTTCCAAGCGGCTTTCCACGGTGTTTTTCAACAATTTTCACTGTCTAAAAATGTAATTCACTTGCGCTAATGCACTAATATTGTCACTGCTTCTATTTTGCTCGATTTGTTGCTGTTTTCTACTTTTACTTGCATTGCATATTGATTGTAGTTCGTAATAGGGATGGGCGATAGTCGTTGTTTTGTTGTTGCTCCCCGCGGCGAATGGCGATGCCTATCGATAGATCTGGCTTGTTTTACCGATAGTTCCATTTCTTCTGCTTGCCCTGTATTAAACGCTATTTTTATTTGCACAAATATATCTTTATTAAAAAATTTATTTAGTAAACAGTGAATATATCACCATATTTGTGTTTTTTTTGTTTAAAAATGAATATTTATATAATTTACACTTTGCCCATCACTAGCTAACAGTGTTGCAAAATTTTATTAGCGTTGTGTGAATGGCAGTCTTGTAAAATGTCATCCCTGAAAGAAGGCAATACTGTTAGAAAGGCGCGAAATTCAAATATTGTTATTGGTTAGGTCTTTTACGCAAGAAAATAATTTAAACTTGTTTAATGTCATTATACTACTGCATTATCTGTAACAATTTTTTTCTGAGTAACAACTTAAGATTCTGTAAAGATAAGGACGAGTTAAAATATTTTTTAAAGTATTATTATATTATTACTTTTTAAGATAAGATAAGCTATATCTTATCAGATCTTAGCAATCAAAAACGCCTTTTTGATTGCCAGCAAGTGAAAGCTCAGTTTAACAACTAATTACCTTGCGGCAAGGCCTCGCAATCCGGATAATATTTTAATTATGACAACTTGCAACTGGCCAAAAAACAGATGTAAACGGATATCCAGCGTTGGCTACCGCATGCGGCTTTCTTAATTGGCCGAACGAGACCCACTACCTTGGCTGATAAGCAAATTGGTAAAAATGTACAACAGAATTGTGAGTTTAATTTGGGCATAAACCTCAAGCCCGTGCGTGTAAATTATGCGCACTTTCACCGCTCCAGAGGATCGGGTCCCTTTTCGGCTTCATTTGTCGTGCGTCGAAATTAATTAGTCGCACTTCAAGTTCCCTTCTGCGTAGGTGTTCGTCCGTTGTCGTCAATCCAGGCGTATTTATTACCATTTATGCACGACTGTCTGTTTGGCGGATGCGCCGCGAATTAATTACACTATGGGGCACATCAACATGGATGTTGCACTCTGCGGGTGCAACAATATCACAAAGTTGCTGCTGAAAAATGAATGGTTAGCCAGTCGGTTTGGGGAAATAGTCGCGACCATATATCCATTATAAGCACCATATAATCGTGCCGCATCGCAACCACTCATATTCACACCAGGCACTCGCTGCAACAAGGACAATAAATCATCCCAAAGGCAGCCGAGTGCAGACAAATTCACTGAAATTTAAATAAAAATCAAAACAAATGCTAGACAAAACACGAGTCCGGGAGTCGGGGTCCGTAAAAGGCGAAAAGAGCCTGAAAGGCAGCCGCATCAATATGGAGCATACATAGAGGAAAATTGGGATGCAAAATTAATTAAATATGCCAATGAAATAACTAGGATTTTTAGATACCTTATAAAGATGTCTAGAAGTATGCAAGGAAAAATTGTAAGTAGTTTTACGAAATGAATTCATCAGACACTCGAATTCAAAATATATTGTTGCATACTTTAAGACACCTTTTCAAGCGGTTTTAAAATTCAAGTAATTTCTGTGTCATTTTCCACTAAATGTTTTTAAAGTATGATGATATCTTATGGTCTGTTTAGGCTTCTTATAATGATAAGTAAAACTCATTAAGTATTTTCTTAAAAATTAAAAACAATATTAAAAATATAAATATTTCTTTCTGTCTAGCCATCATTTCCAACAACAGCAACAAAAGCTCAACGTCGGCATTATGAATAACTTTTAAATTTGAATGTGAAATAAACGCTTTGTCTAAGCGGGCTACCGTTAGCAACATGCTGCTCTTGCAACTGTTGCTGCTGCTGCTGCAGTTGCTGCTGCCAGTGATTTATGCAGCAACATTTGATGAAATATAATACAAAAGGCGCACAGCAGCCGCTGCAACAACAAAGATAAATTGCCGCACGCTAAATTGTAAACTATATAAGGTTTAAATGCAAAGTGTGTTGTCCGTTGCCTGTTGCACGTTGCATGTTGCATGTTGCTAGTTGCCGTTTAGATAACGCCGGGCAACAAATGTTGCTTTTATGACTTCATTTGGTTTTTACGGCGTTTCCAGCACGTTAACTATTTTTACTTATTAATAATTGGATTGTGTATCATAAAACATTCTTTCGAAATTGTAAATATTTATTTGTGCCTGATAGAAAAAAATGTACTTTTCAATTTGTAACAAAGTTTTATTTAATGTTTTTTCACAGTTTACTGGGCTTTAGTTGCTATTGCACGGTTTTGGTTTCGACGGATCCGGTCAAGGCGATGCACTCGATCTCCACCAGAGCGTCCATGGGTAACTTGGCCACCTGGAAACAACTGCGGGCCGGGAAATCCTTATTGAACACTGAAACGGCAGATAAGCAAACATAAAGCATACAGTTTATTTTTGAAAGAACAAAAATAATATGGGAATCGCTGTCATAAAGTGTTTATAGTAAACAATAAACGGGGCGATAAGACGCTAACGATGCCGATTGGCTTATCAGGCGACATCGATCAAAAGGCCGGTATACAGTAGGTATTGCTATATAACCAAAATTAGTGCTAAGGCAATATTAAACAATAATACCTGAACATTTTAGTATAGCTAAACAAGTGACAATAAAACATTTACTACAGTTTACTTAAATTAAATTAAATTATAGATTTATTTGTAATATATACTTCAATAATAATGAGAACAGCACTCACCCTTCTTGTAGACCTCATTGACGGCCCCGAAATCATTTAGATCCTTCAAGAAGACAGTGTTCTTCACCACTTTGTCCACTCCGGAATCTGCTGCCTTGAGGACAGCCTGGAGATTTTCCAGGGCCTTTTCCGTTTGCTCAGTCGGTCCTCCGGGAACCAACTGCATGGTGTCCTTATCCAGACCCAGACATCCAGACACATAGACAGTGCGGTCAGCAACCACAGCTTGACTATGTAATATAACACCAATAACAATTAAATATATGAGATAGCTACATGGTTGTGGTCTTCTATATGTAATACTTACTGGTAGGGAGCCACCGGCTTGGCTGCATTTACTGTGCTGATAAGTTTCCTCACAATCGTCGACATTTTGATCTGTGATACTATATAGTGGCAAAACGTCCAGACAAGTGCAGCTGCTAAGAGTGAACTGATCAAAAGCTTTATTTTTCGTTCAACAAGTTGCTTTTCTTATCAGTTTTTCTTTTGACAAGCTCATTCGCTTTTTTCTCCCGCGCAAACAGGTGCTCTCAGCTGTTTTGCTGAACAGCTGTCTCATGGATCTGTTATTATAATGTTAAGATGGTTAGCAAAATATGGTATTTATTCTGTTAAAAATGTTATTATCTTATAATATTTTCACACTTTATTAGGAATAATTTATCATAATTTAGTTTAAGAATTTATAATAGAGTTATACTGTAATGTTTTTAGTTAATAAATTAGTTTTTTAAGTAAATGATAAAATAATATAAACCTGAATGCCACCATTATTCATGTGAAACCTGACGGTAATATTGATAAATTAAGTTAACTCAGCTGCTTTAATATCTTAATTAACATTTTTTCTGTGGAATTAATAATTCCCGATCTCCGGAAATTTGGGTCGCACCCGCTTTCTCTAGCTGGCGGACTTTTTTGGCCAGCCGATATTTGATTTAACGCCATGAAAAATGCATGCCATGTCACTTAGCCACGCCCATCTGGGCCGCCCCGACTAATTATTTATTATTTGGCAATTGCTGTCTGTCAGTCGCTGTCAGACGGGCCAAAAAGGTAAAAAGAAAGCCCGGCCGCCGAGTTCCCGTTTCAGAATCTTTACGCATGCCAAAAAAAATACCGAAAAAAGAGGAGAACACTCTGTAATTATGTGAAGAAGATGCGGGATCCTGAAATGTGGCAAAGGGTCTTAATCCCGGACTGAGTGCTGCACCCAACTGCTGCATCCAGCGTAGGTGCAACCTCAGAGCAAAGAGAACACGCCCAGCAAAACGCCGCCTCAAGATTGATTGCAGACGCTTTGTTGTTTCTGTGGTTAAGTCACTGGAAAAAATGTTGTAGTACCTTTTCTTTAGGTTAAAAAAATAAATGTTAAGGTTACCAATATCGTTTCTAAGTAGTTTTATATCTAAGTAGTTTAATATAACAATTCTTTAAAACTTTGATACCAAAAATAATAGGACTTACTTAGCTACAAACTATCAAAAAGTTATGATATCCCTTAAGTTCATTACAATAACTAATACAGGAAACCGATTTATAAATGAAACTTTTACAATGACTTTTCCATTATTGTTTTCCCTGAATAAATATGATCTTGTACTAAAGATTTTTCTCGAGTGTATTGCCGGTGGTTCAGGCAACCCACGAAGCTGCAACGAAAAGCTGAAAGAAATTTCTTTCGGCCTCCTCTGCCCGAAGCATTTTGATGTCGCATTTTAGTGCATTAATTACTTTATGATCCACTTTATGTGCATAAAATATGCAAGTTCCAAAATCGCAGGAAAAGCAATTTCACAAGGGGCATCTTCGTGGGTGTTGCAGGCATTTTATTCGAGGTTTTTTTCGAGTCAACAAAATCAACATTGATATTAATTAGCCGCAGCCCGATATTGATTTATACACACAATTTACTTTGTTTAATGATGGCCCCTGGCCTGGGCAAACAATTTTACATTAAATGCTTTAATAAATAAAGCTCTAAATAAGCCAAACGGCAACGAGAAGATGCCATATAATTATTCGGCAAATAACAAATTGCCTCTGAGTTGCAGCACTGCCAAGGTGTGCATTAAGAAAGGGCCGGACCAGAACCAGATTTCAAGACCGATCTCGAACATTTAAGGATCCCAGAACGCCGGAGATATGGGAACAAGTTGCTGGTTCTTCAATATTTATGGCACTTGTTGAAGGAGTTGCTAAAGCCCCCAATCCCATGATTGTGCCCATGTCGATGTGATTGCCAACAGGTGCGGATTTATTATTTCAGAGGGGTAAGGGTACAGAACTAAAAGATAACCAAGTTGTTTGGGGGCTTTGAACTTGCAAGCAAACTTGGTTTTGTTTTAAAAAGTCAAACTAAATAAACTATTAGCATATTTTACGTAGTGACAGAAACCCGCATTTGTATACTACTCTATAAATCAAGGAGTTTATTATATTAGGTGTTTCAGTAAGAATATAATTTTTGTGTATACTTTTATAACGCTAAGATAAGCTAAAAGCTACCATTTCTTGCAATCAAAATACCGAACCGCACCTGAATATGAAAGATCCTCCGACCCAACCAACTTTCCCTTTCCGCTTGACATACTCCTGGGGATGGGATGGCTCCCCATCATTTTGTGGCTGCCATTTTTTATTGGCTCAAATAACTTCATTTGTTTAAGGCTTTATTGGAGCGCCGCTGGCTAAAAGCGATGCTGGGACAGGTCTCTCCGTGGCGCAAATTACAACAATTTCTCTGACGGCCAAGGAGCTGCGGCTACTGCCACTTGCCGGTCTGGTTATTGGATACTCTATAATTTGCATGTGATTTTTATGGCTTGCTCGATTTTCATGCTAAGTTATTTGATTTTAATTTGCTGCGTAATTGCCGGGCTGCGACTTCAACGTGAGCAGGAGGAGCTGCGCCAACTGGTAGCCAAGTTGTCTAGGTCCACCTCCCTGCCCATTAACCCCTAGATTTATGTTTATGGCACTATTGACGCGACTAATCCGAAACACGATGTTGGGCCACTCAATTTCTCAGAAATAGAATGGAAGCCGTTTATCCAAAAGGGGGTGGACCCAATCGAATCGATCGAACTTCAAGGACGATCCGTGAAGAAACGCACCTAGCAATTAGCGGTATAATTGTAAGGGCCCCGTAGATGAGATATATAGGCTGTAACTTATTTCTGGCACTGGGATTTTGTGGTCTAAATATAAAATGAAGGTAAGTTTGGTGAAAGTTTTCCGCAAAGTTTTAGTGTAAGTGCACCTGTTATTGATTTGACTTAAGCCTGATTTATTTTAAGTTTTGATAAATGTGAGCATAAAAGTTAAATGTTTTCTGTAAACAAAGAATTGAAATAAAGTTTTGCTTTCGTGTATTTCCTCCTGCACCCAACTATAAATTTTGCTGATATTTTTTATGTTTATATTCAAATGTAGTGCTAATAAATACACAAATAAACCAAGACATAAATTATGCTTTATGTGAATGCTATTACTTGTGAATTTCCCAGCCCCATTGCTACCTTTCTATTGCTTTTTTGGGCAGTCGAACCTCTCATATCCACAACGCCCACGATGGAATATCTGTCAGGGGTAACTCTCGACTGGCTTTAATTACCGCCGACCCAACTCCGCCCCGGATTCCGCCTCTATTTTCACTCGATCCACAGCAAAACTCCACAGGATATGGAAAACGGAGTTGCAGTTGACATGCAACTGCCAAAACGATGCTCAGGAAAATGTTACGGTCGCGCAAGTGAAAATTGCACTTTTAGTGTGTGTGTGTGCTTGCTTCATTTTTGTTAATTTGCAATGCAAAATAGCTGCACGATCCCGATCCACGGCACACGCCCTAAACGCCACAAATGAAAACTAATGATTTTCACTTTATAACTTCGACGGAAGGGAGGAGGCCAGTGGAGTTGGGAGCAACTCACGCAAAACCCGCCGCACGGAAGCGAATGGGATTTCGGGCTTTGGCTTGAGTGGCTTTGGGCTTGCATGGAAAATTTGAAATTTAATCGCTGGCAATTAATTTGCTCCAAATGCAGTGAAAAGCGTTTCCGAGGAGGAGAAGAGGGGGTGGGGTTCAGTGGGTGGGGCTAGGACTGGCGCCCCCACAGTTGCAGCAGCTGCACCGCCCGCTGAGCGTCGAGGTGGGTCAGTCGCATGTCCACCTGTATCGATTGGGAGCAGCAGCCGCCACGGGAGCAGGTGCACTGAAAAGAAAGTGCCATTCATTACTATTAATAACCCTACAAAATTAACTAAGTTTCATAATTGACTTTATGTAGATATTTTAGATTTAGTGGACCTATATTACCATTTGAAAAGCCCAACTTTTAAATGGGATGTGAGATATTCAAGTACAAAAAATGAATTAAAGTAGAGTAAAATATATAAATTAATTCAAATAACTTACACTTGTTTTTCGAATTAAAAATATTCAAAATGTTACAATCTGTGAAGGGATTCCGCACTTAAGATTTTAAAGATCTATCAATGTATCTGCGATGTCTTTCGATATTTACTGTTAACCCTATGCTTAGAGTCTCATCATAATTAAATTGTTTTTAAAAAATATATTACTACACATTACTTAAAGTGATTTTTAATAATAAAAGATGTAGAACCTATAAAAATAATTAACGTTGATCTTATTTTATTAGAAAACCTATTGTAATATTGTACGTGAATTTTTCCCTGGTGCACCCCAGCCCAGTTGGAGCGGCGTCTGTGTGGTCCAAGGGGTCCATCGGGTCTCAAGTCTAAGTCTTGAGTCTTGAGTCTCCCCGGCTCGATGACAAACGAACGTTCAGCATCCAGCATTCGGCACCGGACATTCAACATTCGCATTCGGCATCCAACATCCAGCATCCAACATCCAGTATCCAGCATTCGACATTTGGCAAGTGGTCAACCGCTCAACGTCGCAGTCGGTGGGCAGGAAAATTGAAAAATTAACAAGTATGAAATGTGCAATTAAAGTGGGCTAGTCCCGTCCCCCACATTACCCGTGGGTAATTCGAGTCGCTTTATATCCCGTCCATATAGCCCCCTTTTAAAGGCTAGGAAAGTGAGGATGACAACGACATCGACAACGTTGTCTACACCTGAGCAGCTCCTCGAAGCCCACAGAAGGAGGCGAATTATTAATCTAGTTTTAATTGCAGCCACCCGGAGGAGCTCCTTAGTCTAGGTACTGGGCACTAGGTACTTGTTGTGGCACTTGGCCCCACCCCGAAGATCATGCCCCATTGATTAATGTGCGCCAATTGTGAAATAAATGCTTCCCTGCCCAAATCCCCCTTGCTACCTAATTGAATTATTGGCAGGGGCAAATTTGTGGCAGACACATATTCATATACGTAAAGAGGGGCGTGGCAGCTGCCTTATTGATCGTTGTTTGCTCAAAGGCGGAGTGGCTAAAAAAATATTATTGG